TTCAGCCCCGAGCCGGCCCGTTTCACGTCCACGGTACGGTTTAGAAGCCGAAGAAGGATTCCGCCACAGGCTCGAGCCACACCATCGGGCCAAATCATCACACCAAGGTACTTCGTGAACCGCGCGATAACCAGATCCCTGAAGGCTGGCCCATCAGAGCACACAAGGCTCTAAACTGCTTTCGCCGTTGCGTTGCCCACGATCACGAGTGCACATTTGTTCATGTCCAGCTCGAGCCCAACAGGGCCCTCCAGGGCAGTCAACAAATCCAGGGTCGGGCCCAGTCCCAAGAAAGCACTTGGCAGGATAACATCAGGTCATCACAGTAGGCACGCAGTCGGTCCATATGCTGACTGCCACGGTGTAGCAAGCATCTCAGAATCGGGTCAGCGTCCAACGCAAACCGGCACGCGCTAGCAGGGTCGCCCTGACGTTCCCCCTCCAGATAGCAATCGTGATGTTCAGAATCTCCCCCGCAGATTACACCGTGCACCCCCATCTGTGCAGATCACGCAATGCGAATCGACGGGAAAGCCGCCGCAAAGTCAGACAACAGCTATAGACTATGTGGCGCGCCATCTGGATGCTGCTGCACCCCCAACGCACCGGCGATCACAATGTCAGATAATAGTTGCCCCCCAGCCACACCCCCCTCTGGTCATTGTGCGCCGTCGAGACAGCAAGCGAATCAAGCGGAGCACAGACTGCCAAGGACATAATCTTGGCATCGGAGCCGCAGGGTGCAAGCGGCCGCGTCGCATCGGGGCTTCTCGCCACACACTGCGCCGCATCGCCAGGGTGCATGGTAATAATAATAAAAGCAAATCTCGCAGATTGTCAGGTAGCGTCGCGCTGTGGTCCTCATGGAGCTCCGTATACATCTCCCATGCAAATTCACACCCGCCCTCCACCTGCCATGCCGCACATGGCAACCCTTCCCTCCCAGGGCCAGCGCCGCGTCTCCGCTTCGCACGATCTCAAAACTCACTGAACTCGAGCTTCCACTCAGGCCGTCGCTGCAAGTCAGCGCCCTCGACTCTACGGCAGCAGGCTAAGAGCTCCGGCCACGGCGCGCGATTCACGTGCGTCGCCTGGAATACACCAGCCCAGTGCGATGCATGATGGATTCCTCACTCCTCGGCACTGGCGCAGACCGTGCCGTCAGAAGTACGGGTGCCATTCAGAAGCGCACGTCGGCGAAACTGTCGCCAGCAAAATGTACTGCGCCTAAGCTGTATTTTAATGTGTCCACCCTCCTCCTCAGCGCTGCTTACCACGGGCTGCCCCTCCTCCATGCCCCGTTCCTGCTGCCCAATATGCTCTACCTGCAGGCGCCCGGCCGGCGCGCGTAAATCGGCAAACCGCGCGCCGGCCACACTTCCCACGCCGAAACAACCCTCCACGCCAGCGAACGCAACAGAGGCACGCGCGCACATGTGGAATTGGCCGCACCTCGCGCCGCGAACCGCACGCATCGTCGCCCAGAAATGTTTTTCGAAAGGGTTTTCCGCGACCCCGGCGCGAATCCCAGGGGCCGCGGCCCAGATGCGTTCTTTGGCCAGTTGCGCGCGCTCTGTGGCATCACGCGGCGGGAGATCCTGAAAAATCTGTCTCGTGCGACGGGCGCGACAACGCTGGTAGACTACGTTTTTTTTCGCATCCAATTTCTCGAGAACAAAGACTAGCGGCCTGCGATCAGAAGAGCATTTTTCCAGAGGCCCATATGGCGCAGCTGTGACCGTGTAGTCAGCTAGCAAAACACTCGGGTTATTACCTTAGATTATTTTCAGACGCGAGGTGCGCTGCTCCGACGCTTCGGCAATCCAGCCGAGGCGGGCCGGCCCATGCTGGATATGATCGCGGTGCTGCCTGCCTCCCATGTCTGCCCCCCATGTCACAGATGGCATTGAACAGATCGCGGTGCTGCCTGCCCCCTGCCCCCAATATCTGCCCGCCCCCCGCCGCGCCCCCCCCCCCCACCCCCCCCGCAACGTGGAGTGCCAGCCCCCCGCGATAGAAACTCATAAAACAAGTTCTGCTGGGCCATGCCCTCGCAATCACCCTCGAGGAGCGACAATGCACAGGGGTTGGCATTGGCGGGGGCTCGCGATCGCAAGCCGCCCCCTGGCCCACGCATTCGCGTGATCGGGGTGCGCCCATCCGACGCAAAATCGCGATCGATCGCGGCAAATTGCTCGCGAAGCCGCGCGCTGAGAATTGTGGCCGCTCCTCCTGCAGCAATCATTCCAAGAAAGCTGGCACCGATAAGAGCGCCTCTAAGTTGGTGGAGAAGCAGTGGCTCTACATCACCTGCTTGACCAGGGCATTCTTGCAAGCGCGCCACGTCGTACCGTCGACACAACACAAGCGCATGCGCATATTTACCCCCGCGAATCCTTCCAAGGAGTTGCTTCGTGTTCCACGTACATATCGACACCGATAAAGGAGGGCTGCACAGATATCCTCGAACCTCAGGAGCCACAATTGGGTCTACTATAGGAACAATATAAGCCCTACATTATGAGAACTACTATGTCCTTCAGGGGTGCATGGGTTAGGGTCAGGTGAAAAGGCTGTAAACTGCGTGTGGTGCGCTGCCTGCTGCTCGTTGCCACTCGCATCCTCGCGCAAGCACCCCGCGACGGCCTAGGAGGGCGCAGCAACAAAATCCAGCAGTCTGCCAAGGCAGCAGGCAACAGGCTCAAAAGTGGGCAGTGGGCGCCTTCCTCACCTCAGGCAGCGTCTGCTTGATCCCGAACTCCATGATGGCCTGCTCCTCGATAGTGTCGATACGTTCGCCGTCCATATTCAAATGCACGAGAATGATCGGGCGCCCGTCCGAACACATCGCGCAGACCGCCCCGCCGAAACCGTTCGAGCCCACCTCGTAGCGCCCCGCCAATGTCTGCGCGATCACCTTCCGAACCTTGCCCATCACTACGGACAGGCGCTGGCCTTGCACGCAAATGTCCCACTTCAGTCTGAGGTCGTACGAGACAGATGGCGAGATCGGACTCGGACAGCGAAATGGCCCCTTGCTCTTGAACATCTGAAAACGCCGCTGCACTTCAAGAGCTGCTTCCCGTGACATGTCAAAAGCTTTGACCGTGATGCTGCCATGCTCGCTCTGAAGCGCACAGGCCGCGCGCGCCTGCTCAGCCGCGCGGCGGGGAGTCCTCCCCATGAGCTGCGCGTCGAAGCCTACCAGGATGAGACGGCAAACTTCCTCCTGCTGGCGATGGTCGCTACTGTCATTGTCACGGCCTCCGTTGCGGCTCGGGCCTTGGGCCATCGCCGCCAAGTGTTTCTCGATCTGCCCAACCTTGTCGTTTACCACCGATGGAACCTCGATCCCATCCGCGGCCATAAATGAAATGGGGGACCTCGGGGAAGCCTCAGTGGCACTCGGGCGGTTGTCCATCTCCGCCCGCATGGCCGCGGCGATCTTCTCCGCGTCCTTCAATGACGTGCTGGTCATCGCGCTCAGGGGCTGGAATTGTAGTTGCAGCTGGCCAGCCATGACACAAACCGCTTGCACATCACCGCGGAAATGCTGCACCTCCTGAGTGTGTTTGGTCATCTGGTACGAGATCTGTTTGAAAAAGGGCTTTCGTGCTCGTCGCTTCCCCTTCCTGAAAGCCATCTCTGCGACTCAGTGAGAAACTGGGAGTTGCCGACGGGTTCCTGCGCCTGCGCGGATGACTCACGCTCGGTTTCCGACCGTGTCGCGAAGACGGCGAGGATGAGCTCTGTTGGCGTTGCTTGCGACGATCTCCATGCTTGACCATCGCTGCGATCAGCCGAGGGTGTGAGGGCACGCGCACACCTGACCGTGAAAGTGTGGGTGAAACTGGGCACTGCGCCCAATCGCCTGAGCCTCCCCGTCGGCTGCAATCAAGGATCAAACCCCAGGGGTCAGGTTTGAGCCTTGAGCCAAAATGGCTACGGTAGGGGGTCTGACTTTTTGGGGGCCCGCACCTGCTCAGAGAACTATCGGGGAAACGGCCGGGCGCGTGCGGGTTCTTCGACGCGAGGACCGGAGAAAGGCCATCCTCTGCTCGGAACTGCACCCCCCCGCCCAGACCTGCCAGCGAAAGCGGCCAAGCGTGCGCGGGTATCCAGCGTGAGCCTGGAACCTCCCTCATCCAATATTTGAGCATGATGTGATGTGAAGCTCGCTCTGGTTACATACTCGTGCAAGATAGCTGCATGCACAGCTTTGCGCAGGCGGGACAGGTGGGGCTGTAGCAGCGCTGCCCTGGCCCTGCAGCAATGTGTTCCAGAGCCCACCAGGGGGCTGTGCTAACAGCACGCTGCAAACTGCACACCAGCGTGAAGTCTGGGGTATTGTTTTGCTCCGAGCGATCCCCACTCAAGAGCGCGAGGCGGGATGCCCAGGGAGCGCCAGGACCCTTTGGGCCTGGCGGCCGCGGTATGCAGTCATTCGTCGAAGGCGCGAGGGGGGATACCCAGGGAGCACGGGGACTCTGGGGGTTTGCGAGGTGCGATGCGGGTCGGGAATTCTGCTCCGAACGTCTAGCAACCCCGCGCTGTCGGGTGGGGCAAGATCGATACCGCCAGTCCGTCCTGCCCAGGATTTCTAGGCACATCCAGCCGTGGCGACGAGGGGCCTCCCATGAGGTCCCAAGGAAGTGAAGGCGAGCCAAGGGCATCGGTATCGGTACCACTTCATACCCTAAACTACTGGGCAAGAACTCCACGAACAACCCCAACCCTTCCCTGATCAATGGGTACGAAATGATTATGGTCGTGACCGATGAAATCGATCGCCCCTGCTTGTGGTATTGTTTCGGTATCTGTCGCGACCGGTCTGCTTCAGAACCTGTCGCGACCAATCTGGGGATCGGTCGCGATCGGTCACGACCGATTTGGAGTTCCGATGTGTCGCTGCCGATCGCGACCGAACCAATCTGGTGTCCAATGATCTGGGGCCGGGTGGCGCGATGCGATGCGACCACCGTTGCGGCAAGTGCCCGGGCCTGCGGGCGGCGCCCACTCCAAGGTCACCGTGTCGGCGGTCGAGGCCTGCCTCGTTGGCGGGTCCGGCTTCGACGGCAGGCCTGCCCCCCATTCGTACCGCAGCGGGCGCGCGCTTCCACGCCGCCATAGGTCGAGGAGGAGCATCGAGGATCGAGGAGAAGAGGATGGAGGAGGAAGTGGAGGACCGAGGATCGAAGTCTGCGAGGATCGATGATGGAGGCCTTCGGCGGCCCTCCAGAGGCCTCAGAGTCTTCGGCGGGGCGCGGGGCTTTTCGGGAGGTTCCCGCTGGCTCCTGGAGACCTTCTCGCCTCGTGCTGGTGTCCAGCACCTGCTCCTCGCCATGCGCCTCGCCAAGGGCGTTCCAGGGGTACCCGGGTCGCCCAGAACGGCCGCCGGGGTCTCAAATCATGACCTGGAAACCCAAACCTCCAATGATCAATTTTTTTACCGCCCGGCAGATTGTCCAGCATGTTCAAACCTCTGGGGCCCGCCAGTGGGCCCTGGGCGGGTCCGGGACGGAAGAAGACTGCCCCCTAAGAAAGGGCCAGGAACTTCTGGTTGGGCGAGATTGATGTCATGGTAGAATTAGCGCAGGATGCGTTCCAGATGTTTCAGAGCATCTGCAGCCGGCGCGGAGAATCAGGAAATATGGGACATCCTGGAAACCTGGGAAATCCTGGAACGTGTCATTATCAGTATCATGTCCCCCCCCCCTCCCCCTAGTCACTGTCCTTCCGCCCCTCCTTCCGCCGCCTGGCCCCGCAATGTGCCCAAGTCTGGTCCCTGACCCCCCGTGCGGCCCATCCATGCCAGTTTGCCACCCTGGATCGATTTTCTGCGGCCTGTGGGGACCGAAACAAGCCTCAGAGGCCGAGAACAGGGAGAGACCTCGAGCTTCGAACGTCGCTCCTCGAGCATTCTCCTCCTCCTCCTCCTCTTCCCCCATCGCCCAAGGCCTCGCCGTGCGGCTCGTCATTGAGAGTGGGGCCAGGAGCCCCGCCCTCGGCACGGGTGGGCGCGCAGGGGGAACACGAGCCCCCGCGCTGCCAGCCAGCCCAGCCCCGCGCGGGCGAGGAGCACGAGCCTCCCCCGCGCGAGACGCGGGCCGCCCCCCCCCCCCCCCCCGCAGGAGCACGAGCCGGCGGGGAGAGCGAAGGAACGAACCTACCCACCACTCCCCGAACGGCAAGACTTCGACATCCTGCTCCTACTCGTCCTCCTCCTCCTCCTGGGGCCGCGCAGCGATCTGGAGCCATCTGCGGCCTCCGGGGCGGCCGCCAGAGGCCCTCGGGAGCCTTCAGCGGCCGTCGGCGGGACGGAGGGCCTCCCTCCACCGTTTCTCGGTGCGCGTGCCACGTTCCTCTCCCCCGAAGACGTGCGGAGTCGCGCGCCTCCCTCCGTGAGCAGTTCACAGTCGGGATCGGCCTGAGTTGGTTTTCGTTTCCCACGTATGCGATTCGCTTCACTTCCAGATCCTTCAACAGAAGTGCCCCCGCTGCGAATCGTTTTCGGATCAAAGATTTTCTCCCGTCGTTCAGGATGGCGCTCTTGCCCGAGCCCAGGCCACTGTTCTAGTCCGAATACGTCCTAATCGTTGTCGCCCCTCCTTTCCCCCTTTCCGCCTTCCCCTCGTACTCCTGCTCCGCCCGCTCCTGCCACTCCGGTACTTGCTGCTGCTGTTCGTCATCGCCCTCTTCCTTCCTGATCCTCCTTTCCTCCTGTTCATCCTCTGGCTCATCCGCCATCTTCTCCTCCTTCTCCTTCTACTTAGACATACGCAGCTCCCATTTTCCTGATTGCGCATAACACGATGGCATCTTCTTGGAGTGTAAGGCCCGCCATGACACGCGTTCGCGGAAAGATGGCCATCAGCACAGTGGTAAGGGATTGGTGAGAAGTCAGATATGGTACGAACGCACCTCGCTTCTCCCACCCCTCTCTCCCCGCTCCCTCCCCTTTCCATCCTCCCTCCCCTCTCCCTCCCCTCCTCCCTCCCCTCTCCCTCTGCTCTCCCTCTCCTCCTCCCTCCCATCGCCCAAATCTCTCCCTCCTCCCTCCTTCTCCTCTTCCTGATGGCCCGTCCCCCCTCCTCCCTCCCCTTCTGCCTCCCCCGCCCTGGCGCCGCGACGAAAAGAGGCTGTTCTTCGAGTTCGGCCTCTCGGAGCCTTTAGGGCCACGGGGCTGCCACAAGCCAGACTGGGTCGGACAAGACCTTGCCGGAGATGGGCCCTGGGAAGCTGCGGCATGGGATGTGGTTTTCATTAGGGTTTGCGCTGGAGGAGGCGTGCCGCGGGGAAGGCGTGCCGCGGTGGATGCCCAAAGCGCCCCGTTCCGTCCTCCAATGGAGAAGTGGCATGGGGAGGAACACTCCCCATGCGGTCATGAACTTTTGTTCGGCTTGTTTCTGCGGCGGCCCCGGTGACACGCCATGCCCTGCGAGCTGGTTGCGTGTCGTTCCACTCCGCGGGGCGGGGGGGCTGGGAAACGTTCGGGGCGCTGACGCCTGGAGACCAGGACGTGGTTGACGTGTCGCGCCGAGGCGTGCTGGGCCAGAACTGGCGGCGCGACACGGGAAACAAGAGTTCCCAACCGCATTTCGCTAGAAAGATGCAATGCGTTTGTTTCAAAACGAATTCTCGTCGGAATGACACGCGCAAAACAAGCGCTCGTTTTTCAAGAGGGAAGCTCTTTGTGGTGAAAAGGTGGGCTTGCAGGGACCAGTCAGGAAATTTGGGTCGACAGGGTGTATATTGCAGCGTCGTTGCTGCATCCTGGGTTCGCTCTGGTCTTCCTCCTCTTCCTCCTCCTCTTCCTCCACCTCCTGCAAACTCTGGAGGGAGCTTCCAGTAGGACGCACTGTGCTGCTCTTGAGCGCAGGTCGTAAGGGGCGTTGCTACAACATTATCACTTGAGCTCAGCAATGTCGATTGTAACGATAACTGCTAGCAAAAATGGCACGCGGCGCTTCGATACCTCATTGTAAATATTCCCCGTCTCGCGGAATGCCTGCGACGTGCAGTCCATGCTGGCGCTGAACCATTCGACGTTCGAGGTCGCGGCCGAGGAGGATCCGTTCGAGGGTGCGCTCCGGACGCAGGATCGAAAGGGTGCCGCTCGTCGAGGTACAATTATCGTGCTACGATGGTGAACGTTGTCAAATGAACGAAACGGCTTCTCTGGCCACGACGGTCTTTCCACCTAGGACAAGATACCCGACCTGGATTTGAGGACCTTCCAAGAAACCATCGCCATTCCTAAGCCCGAAATGGTCTTAGTGTCAGCGGTTTGCCTGTACTGCCGCTGGGCGCCACAGGGCTCTCCCGCGTTCCTCCTCCACGCCCGACCTCTTCGTCTCCACAACCCTCCCAGCAACAAACGCTTGGCGGAAATGTTCAACCTTGCCCACCCCGCCGCAAGCACCCAAGCCAAAGCTGGCCCGAGAAGTTGCGGTCGGCGGGCACCCCCGCCAACATTGGAGGGGTTGCGGGGGGGCCGCGGCCCACGTGGCTTCGATGGGACCTCGCAGCGGTCCGAAGAATATCGCACGACCCCACGCATACTTCCAAACATTTTGTTCTTGTCGGGAGGGTGGTGCGCCCTGGGGCTCTTGCCATTTCCAGCCGTCGCGCGATCCCGCGACTGGCAATGTTCTCGTCTCGCAGCCACGCGCGCAGCAATGCGCGCTCCTTGTCGGCATCCGACTGGCATTTCGCAACGATGTCGCCCAAACAACACTCTGGACTCTGGACAAATGTGCACTCGGAGCGTGATTCGTGCGATACAAATCTGTGACCCGTTGTATGCGACTGGGTGTTCCTCCCAGCCGCGCGAAACCTACATCCCCGCAGCTAACAGGAGCAAACCGATTGATGCTTTCACAGCACGCCGCTGCGCGGGGCAAGCTCCGCCCCACAAGAACGCGCAGCCGAGCTGGCATAAGACAAGGGGTGTCCTTTCATAAGGATTTGCGGTTGACCTCAGATGGCGTGGCCGATGGCAGTAATCAGGGCGCCCCTCTGAGTGGCCCTGTCGCCACCCCCTGATGCACCGCCGACCCGTCGAACTTGCAGAGGGCGACCACGTGGCGATGAACTCCGTCGTGGTGGGCGCCGTCGTATTTCCCGAGCCCGTGGCGCTAGGCAGCGTCGTGGCAATCAAGCCCTTGAGGCAAGAATAGCGTCCAACAAGTCGGCGTCAGAGTTACGATCGTAGCCGCCGTGATGTAACCTGAGAGTCCGGGGGATAGGCCAGCGCGCCCAAAATCATCGTCGCCCATCGCTAAACAGGAGTGTTGCTTGTTGCCACTGCTGCGTGCCTCATCCATTCAGCCCAGTGCCGTTGTAGATGGTGGGATCGGGGGGTCGGTGCTGGGGGGCGCTGGGAGCGCCGCCCGAGGAGGGAGGGGCCGCGGGCCCTGCGACTCCACCCCAGCGGCGTTCCGTGCGAGGCTGGGCAGGACGCGCCACAGCCGCCTCGGTGAGACTACAGTCGAGGCAGGCATGCCGCACGCGTCATGTCGCTGATCTTCACAGCGTCCAGCGCCACATTCCTGGCATCTGCGCCGCATCGGTGGCAGAGCGGCGCGCGCAGCAGTCAGGAAGCAGGTCGCAGCGGTCGCCTGCGCCCGTGCTTCCGACCAGGAGCTGCTAGAGAAGGGCCACTACGAAGAGTGCGTCAGTGGCCCCGCGAAGATAATCTCGAGGGGGGGTGCTCGGTGGGCCGAGGCTGCAGCCGCCCCGGCCACGCGTGAGATGGCCGCTCAGACTGAGGTGCCTTCGCGGCGGCAGTGGCCCGGCCTCTATCTCGGACCGCGCGTCCGTGAGTGACGGGAGAGAGGACAACGCGAAGACGAGTCTCCAAGAGGGCGGCGAACGAGGCCGGTAGGGGCCCAGCAGCGCCAGCACTTGGCGAGCATGGCGGCACTTTCGAGAGGCATGGCACGCCGCATGGCCCGAAGGAAGGCAGGCCGCCCATGAGCTAACGATCGCAACCTCCTTCTCGCTGACGGCCTCGCGCGAGCACCAGACCTGGGGGGGGGGGCGAGGAGGAGGAGGGGGGGAGGAGGAGAATGAGGAGCCC